TGCCCTAAACAAAATTAACCAAACCAATCAAAATATTTAGATTTCGGCATTAAATAACCCATAGAGGTTGATATGCCGCTAAACAAAATCAACCAAATCAAACCAATCAAAATATTTAGATTTCGGCATTAAATAACCCATAGAGGTTGATATGCCGCTAAACAAAATCAACCAAATCAAACCAATCAAAATATTTAGATTTCGGTATTAAATAACCCATAGAGGTTGATATGCCGCTAAACAAAATCAACCAAACCAAACCAATCAAAATATTTAGATTTCGGCATTAAATAACCCATAGAGGTTGATATGCCGCTAAACAAAATCAACCAAACCAAACCAATCAAAATATTTAGATTTCGGCATTAAATAACCCATAGAGGTTGATATGCCGCTAAACAAAATCAACCAAACCAAACCAATCAAATTATCTAGATTTCCCGCATTAAATAACCCATAGAGGTTGATATGCCGCTAAACAAAATCAACCAAATCAAACCAATCAAAATATTTAGATTTCGGCATTAAATAACCCATAGAGGTTGATATGCCGCTAAACAAAATCAACCAAACCAAACCAATCAAAATATTTAGATTTCGGCATTAAATAACCCATAGAGGTTGATATGCCCTAAACAAAATTAACCAAACCAATCAAAATATTTAGATTTCGGCATTAAATAACCCATAGAGGTTGATATGCCGCTAAACAGAATCAACCAAATCAAACCAATCAAAATATTTAGATTTCGGCATTAAATAACCCATAGAGGTTGATATGCCGCTAAACAAAATCAACCAAACCAAACCAATCAAAATATTTAGATTTCGGCATTAAATATCCCATAGAGGTTGATATGCCGCTAAACAAAATCAACCAAACCAAACCAATCAAAATATTTAGATTTCGGCATTAAATAACCCATAGAGGTTGATATGCCCTAAACAAAATTAACGAAACCAATCAAAATATTTAGATTTCGGCATTAAATAACCCATAGAGGTTGATATGCCGCTAAACAAAATCAACCAAATCAAACCAATCAAAATATTTAGATTTTGGCTTTAAATAACCCATAGAGGTTGATATGCCGCTAAACAAAATCAACCAAACCAAACCAATCAAAATATTTAGATTTCGGTATTAAATAACCCATAGAGGTTGATATGCCGCTAAACAAAATCAACCAAACCAAACCAATCAAAATATTTAGATTTCGGCATTAAATAACCCATAGAGGTTGATATGCAGCTAAACAAAATCAACCAAACCAAACCAATCAAAATATTTAGATTTCGGCATTAAATAACCCATAGAGGTTGATATGCCGCTAAACAAAATCAACCAAACCAAACCAATCAAAATATTTAGATTTCGGCATTAAATAACCCATAGAGGTTGATATGCCCTAAACAAAATTAACCAAACCAATCAAAATATTTAGATTTCGGCATTAAATAACCCATAGATGTTGATATGCCGCTAAACAAAATCAACCAAATCAAACCAATCAAAATATTTAGATTTCGGCATTAAATAACCCATAGAGGTTGATATGCCGCTAAACAAAATCAACCAAACCAAACCAATCAAAATATTTAGATTTCGGCATTAAATAACCCATAGAGGTTGATATGCCGCTAAACAAAATCAACCAAACCAAACCAATCAAAATATTTAGATTTCGGTATTAAATAACCCATAGAGTTTGATATGCCCTAAACAAAATTAACTAAACCAATCAAAATATTTAGATTTCGGTATTAAATAACCCATAGAGGTTGATATGCCGCTAAACAAAAATCAACCAAACCAATCAAAATATTTAGATTTCGGCATTAAATAACCCATAGAGGTTGATATGCCCTAAACAAAATTAACCAAACCAATCAAAATATTTAGATTTCGGTATTAAATAACCCATAGAGGTTGATATGACGCTAAACAAAATCAACCAAACCAAACCAATCAAAATATTTAGATTTCGGCATTAAATAACCCATAGAGGTTGATATGCCGCTAAACAAAATCAACCAAACCAAACCAATCAAAAATATTTAGATTTCGGCATTAAATAACCCATAGAGGTTGATATGCCGCTAAACAAAATCAACCAAACCAAACCAATCAAAATATTTAGATTTCGGCATTAAATAACCCATAGAGGTTGATATGCCGCTAAACAAAATCAACCAAATCAAACCAATCAAAATATTTAGATTTCGGCATTAAATAACCCATAGATGTTGATATGCCGCTAAACAAAATCAACCAAATCAAACCAATCAAAATATTTAGATTTCGGCATTAAATAACCCATAGAGGTTGATATGCCGCTAAACAAAATCAACCAAACCAAACCAATCAAAATATTTAGATTTCGGCATTAAATAACCCATAGAGGTTGATATGCCCTAAACAAAATTAACCAAACCAATCAAAATATTTAGATTTCGGCATTAAATAACCCATAGAGGTTGATATGCCGCTAAACAAAAATCAACCAAATCAAACCAATCAAAATATTTAGATTTCGGCATTAAATAACCCATAGAGGTTGATATGCCGCTAAACAAAATCAACCAAATCAAACCAATCAAAATATTTAGATTTCGGTATTAAATAACCCATAGAGGTTGATATGCCGCTAAACAAAATCAACCAAACCAAACCAATCAAAATATTTAGATTTCGGCATTAAATAACCCATAGAGGTTGATATGCCGCTAAACAAAATCAACCAAACCAAACCAATCAAAATATTTAGATTTCGGCATTAAATAACCCATAGAGGTTGATATGCCGCTAAACAAAATCAACCAAACCAAACCAATCAAAATATCTAGATTTCCCGCATTAAATAACCCATAGAGGTTGATATGCCGCTAAACAAAATCAACCAAATCAAACCAATCAAAATATTTAGATTTCGGCATTAAATAACCCATAGATGTTGATATGCCGCTAAACAAAATCAACCAAATCAAACCAATCAAAATATTTAGATTTCGGCATTAAATAACCCATAGAGGTTGATATGCCGCTAAACAAAATCAACCAAACCAAACCAATCAAAATATTTAGATTTCGGCATTAAATAACCCATAGAGGTTGATATGCCCAAACAAAATTAACCAAACCAATCAAAATATTTAGATTTCGGCATTAAATAACCCATAGAGGTTGATATGCCGCTAAACAGAATCAACCAAATCAAACCAATCAAAATATTTAGATTTCGGCATTAAAATAACCCATAGAGGTTGATATGCCGCTAAACAAAATCAACCAAACCAAACCAATCAAAATATTTAGATTTCGGCATTAAATAACCCATAGAGGTTGATATGCCGCTAAACAAAATCAACCAAACCAAACCAATCAAAATATTTAGATTTCGGCATTAAATAACCCATAGATGTTGATATGCCGCTAAACAAAATCAACCAAACCAAACCAATCAAAATATTTAGATTTCGGCATTAAATAACCCATAGAGGTTGATATGCCGCTAAACAAAATCAACCAAACCAAACCAATCAAAATATTTAGATTTCGGCATTAAATAACCCATAGATGTTGATATGCCGCTAAACAAAATCAACCAAACCAAACCAATCAAAATATTTAGATTTCGGCATTAAATAACCCATAGAGGTTGATATGCCGCTAAACAAAATCAACCAAACCAAACCAATCAAAATATTTAGATTTCGGCATTAAATAACCCATAGAGGTTGATATGCCGCTAAACAAAATCAACCAAATCAAACCAATCAAAATATTTAGATTTCGGCATTAAATAACCCATAGAGGTTGATATGCCGCTAAACAAAATCAACCAAACCAAACCAATCAAAATATTTAGATTTCGGCATTAAATAACCCATAGAGGTTGATATGCCGCTAATCAAAATCAACCAAACCAAACCAATCAAAATCAACCAAACCAAACCAATCAAAATATTTAGTTTCGACATTAAATAACCCATAGAAGTGTTGATATACCGCTAAGCAAAAACAATCTTGAACTAGCATCCTATAACACGGGATGCAATCTTTAATGGACACCGACTTAGCCATTTCGGTCACAGAATCGTTGTGGTGATTAAGCCAGGTCTAATATAAATCTGTCCTCATTCTCCCATCCTATCCACCCAATTCTTCAAGCCATTAAGCTGTGTCTCACTCTCATGTCCGTAATAAATAACACCTCTACGCAAAATCATTCTCTTGTCGTAGATTTTACAATCTCAGGAGCTTTCAATAAAAGCCGTTAAAGGCAAGTCTATTGTTATTTTGGGACTCTGTTCCGTGGGGGCAATGAGACAATTAAGGATATATATGGATAAAAAGTGTCTTTTTCAGTTTTATTTTGGCCAATGACAGCGACTATGGTGAATTGAAGACAAGGAGAGATTTTCCCAACCCTAACACGTCGGCTTTGTCGTTAGCGGAATGAGGGAGAGACGACATGGTGAATAGGACAAGTAATATAGGAGGAACATGTTTGTGGCTTTTTGAATTTCCGGCAAACGAATAAAAGGAAAGAAGAACGATGGAAAAGATATTCAGGGATATCAATTGAGAATGAGGGGATAAGGAGACTAAAAAGAGAAAAACCAAAATAAAACTGATATAAAAAGAGAAAGAAGAAGAGAAAAGAAAAGGATAAAATGAGAAACGAAAGAAAGAAAGGGCAAAAGAAAAAGAAAGCAAAGTTAAAAGAAAAACAAAAAGGAAAGAAAAAGGGGGAAAAATCAAAAGGTTAAATAGAAAGACGACACAAGGAAAGAAAAGGTGTGCTAGAAAGAGCAAAAAAAAAAACGGAAACAAAGAAAAAGAATGCGAAAGAAAGAAAAACGAATACAAGAAAAAGAAAGGAAAGACAAAGGAAGGAAAGTAAAAATAAAAAAGGAAGAAAAGCAAAGAAGGAACCGAAAGAAAAAAAAAGAAGCGGAAACAAAAACAAAAAGAAAGAAAAAAAGGGGGAATAAAATTAGATAGAAAGGTAATAGAAGGAAAGAAAAAGAGAATTAGGAAGAAAGAAAAAGTGAAAAAGAAAGAAACAAAGAACGAATATAAGAAAAAGAAAAAAAGGAAGTTGTAAGTAAAAAAAAAAGTTTGTAGTAAAAAAACGATTATGAAAAAAAGCGGTAAAAGTTAAAATGAAGCGAAAACGAAAGAAAAGAAAAAAGAAGGAAGGAAGAAAGAATGTAAAGCGAAAATTGAGAAAATGCAAAAAAATAAACAAAATATATAGATTTATAAAGAAAGGAAGAAAAAAGAAAAAGAAAAAAGAAAAAGGAAAGAAAAAGAAGAAAAGGAAGAAAAAAGAATAAGTAACAGGAAAAAAGAAGAAAAAAGGAAGAAAAAAGGAAGAAAAAAGAAAACGAAAACAGGAAGAAAAAAGAAAAAGAAAAAAGGAAAAAAGAAAGAAAAAGGGAAAAAGAAAGAAAAAAAAAGAAGAAAAAACCCGGATAAATAATTCTACAAAAAGTAGCAATGAAAAAAAAAAAGGAAAGAAAAGACGTTAAATAAAAGAAAAAATGAACAGGGGAAAAAAGAAGGAAACGAAAACAGGAAGAAAAAAGAAAAAGGGAAAAAGAAAGAAAGAAAAAAGAAAAACCCGGATAAACAATTCTACAAAAAGTAGCAATAAAAAGAAATGAAAAACAAAAACAAAAAAAGGAAAGAAAAAAACGTTAAATAAAAGAAAAAAAAAGTATAGGGAAAAAAAAAACGTTGAATAAAAACCAAGAAAAAGGAGGTAAATAAATAAAATAAAATAAAAATAGCGTTCGCGGGTGTAAAAGAAAAGAAAAGAAAATACGCAAAATCAGAAAGATTAACTGTAGTTAATAGAAATAAAATACAATAGATAATTAACTTGAAAAATAAGGAAAAAAAAAAGCAATAATTTATGAAATGGGGGGATAAAAAAAGAGAAACGGGGAAGAAGGAAAATGTGAGAGAAAAACGAAATAAAACAAAGCTTAAAATGAAGGCAGTTGGATTAAGAGAGATGGGGATAAAAATAAAAGATAAAGACAATATAGAGAGATACAGAAAGATAAATCTTCTATGATAAAGAAAAGAAAGGCAGAAGTTAGAATGAGGGGAAAAATAGATGAGAGAAAAACAGTTAAAGATGGTGGAGGGAGAATAAAGGAGAGGAGAGAAGAAGAAATAAAGAGAGAGAAATAAGTAAAATGTAGGGAGTGAGTAAAAAGATTTTTTTTAAAATCTGGGTGGGTGATAGGAAGTAAATAAATAAATAAAAAAAGATTTGTAAATTTATCTGGAGTGGTAGGTCGTAGATCAGCCTTTCTTAACATAAAACTCTCGTAGATTGCGTTGACGACAGTTTTTGTTTGACGTTTGGGGAAATTCGTTACAATAGCCATCTTCAATGTAATTATAAGAACAGATAATTTGTCGTCTGCTTTGTTCAAAGTTGAAAGGTCAGAGTAACAATTTATATTAAAACTGAGATTTAATGTATTTTTGCTGTATATTATTATTATTATTATTATTATTATTATTATTATTAACAACAACAACAACTACTACTACTACTAATACTACTACTACTACTAGTTTTAACCCGTGAAAATGTTACGGTTGGTTCTGTGTCGCGCCAGAAAGTTTTCATCGCCCGAGTCCATCCTTCAAATTTTTAAATCAACCATTCGTCCTTGCATGGAATATTGCTGTCATATATGGTCTGTAGCCCCCGCTGTCCGTCTTAGGGTCCTCGATAAAATTTCCAGAAACGGGTATGCAATTTGGTTGGCCCTAATCTGGCATCTCGCTTACAGTCGCTCTCTCACGGATGTGCCATCGCCTCCCTCTGTCTTTTCTATAAATACTTTCACGGTAACTGCTCCCACGAACTATTTTCGCTATTTCCCAAACTGCGTGAATTTAAACGTGCCACTAGGTCGGCATCTCAGTCCCACCCTTTCACTGTCGAAACGATTAAATGTAGCCGTCTCTTCTACTCCAATAGCTTCATGTCTCACACTTCCCGTCTGTGTAACTCCCTTCCTTTTACTTGCTTCCCTGATAGTTATAATCTCCAGCTATTCGAATGCAATGTCAATCGACATCTCCAGATGCCTTGATCTATTCCCTGTCCTTCTCTTCATCCTTTCCTCTTTCACCCCTCATTACTCTTGCTCCCACTTTCTGTAACCCCTCGTATTCTAATGGAAATCCCGCCTTGCTTGGGGTGAAAAGTTAAAAAAAAAAATAATAATAATATTCTGATGAATCTTAATTCTAAAGTTATTGATTGTGTAAGCTCAGGGCGAGTTCTACGACAATAAAATATCTGTAGAAATCCCTCTATCGCATCGTTAAATAATTGAGCTTAACAACTTTAAATAATATTGCAATAATAATCATCAATACGAATGCTGGTCGTTATTTTAAAAAGTGGGTACAAATGAAAAGATTTGACATTGACAATATTTTCCATTTCACTCTTAAACACTTCTATATTCATTTCTTTATTCCCTTCTTTCTCTTTTCTTTCATTTTCTCACTGAAACCAAGTAGTGCCTTTTCCTTTCTTTCCACGCGATCAAAACGGAATAGTCCATTATTTATTAGGTATAATTCAGGAGACGTTAAACCCGCATTTCTTTCTTTCTTTCTTTCTTTCTTTCTTTCTTTCTTTCTCTCGCAGATATAAAGTAGCACCTTTTTCCCTCTTGCCACGCGATGAAAATGGAATAGTCCATTATTTATGAGGTATTGGCAGAAGACGTTAAACGCTTCAAACTTTAACGGTCGTGCGAACTAATGAATAATAATAATAATAATAATAATAATAATAATAATAATAATAATAATAATAATAAACCAGAACAGACATGGGCGGGAATCATAAGAAGATGTTAAATGTGCACTGAAAAAAAGCACACAACTAAATCTCCAGGAATAGATAAAATTCCTAACTTCTGGCTATATTATTTAAATACAGCACATAAAAACTCGCCAAAGAACTTCAAGAAATGGTTATAACTAAAATTCCTGCATGGATGACCAAAGGAGTTACCTTTCTTCTACCCAAAAATAGTGACACAAATATTCCGAAAACTATAGACCAATTACATGTCTTCCAACAACATACAAACTGTTAACATCTATTTTAACAAAACAGACATATTTCTTCTTGGAAAGAAATGACATACTACCACTTGAACAAAAAGGGTGCAAACAGGGCTGCTACGGATGTAAAGACCAATTACTTATTAATAGGATGATCCTGAAAAACTGCTTCCGTGGAAAAAAAAAAAAAAATCTTAGTATTGCCTGGATAGATTATCGGCATTCGATAGTGTACCACATTCCTGGATCTTAAAGTCTTTAAAATGTACAAGGTATCACCCGTTAAAAAATCAAACAATGTATGTCGATATGGAAAACTACACTTTACCTCAATCATAAAAAATGGAACCTATAAGTCTGGCGAAATAAAACATCAATAGAGGAATATTTCAAGGTGACTTTTTGTCTCCTTTTATTATTTTGCATATCACTTATAGCATTAACCAGCCAACTTAACAAGACAGAATGCGGTTACAAAATAGCTCAAAAGAAAATAAACCATCTATTTTACATGGATGACTTAAAATTGTATGCTAGGAATGACAATGAGCTGGAAGGTCTTCTGCAAACTGTAAAATGCTTCAGTGAAGACATTGAATGAAATTCAATTTGGATAAATGTGCTAAAGCTACATTTTACGAGGATCGCTTTACAACAAACTTCCTCTATTAGTTTTAGACCCTGCTGTAACAATAAAAGATTTAGAACAAGGAGAAGCTTATAAGTACCTAGGTGTAAATGAGAGACTGAAGGAATTCACCATAAGAAAATGAAAGAAATAGTGCGTAAAGAGTACTATAGAAGGGTACGACTGGTATTAAAAACTGAATTGAATTCTCAGAACAGAATTATGGCCATTAATAACCTTTTTGCCATCCCAGTGGTCCAATATAGTTTCAACATCTTGAACTGGACTCTAAATGACATCAGACAAATGGATTCTAAAAACAAGAAAGTTTTTCTAAGTATAAGATGCATCATCCAAAGGCTGATGTAGACCGTCTATACATACCCCTGTCTGAAGGTGGAAGAGGTCTTATTCAGCTAGAATTGTCATACAAGACAACAACTATTGGCTTACTAACTTACATGGAAACAACAAATGACTGGATGATAAAATTAGTGAAACAACATGAAAACAGAAAGAAAAAATATTCAATAATAAAAGAAGGCAGTAAATACAAACAACATTTACATTTAGTAGATTCTGTAGTAAATCAAAAACAGAAGCCAAGAACCAACTATTGCAGCAAAAGATATGAAAAAGAAAGCCAAGGATAAAGCCCTTGAACAGATGAAACAACGCTGGCAAGACAAACCTCTGCATGGCCAATATCCAGAACGTGCAAATAAACCCAATGTTGATAAAGTTAATACTCATCGATGGTTACGAGCATCTGGATTAAAGTCTGAAACTGAAGGCTTTATTCTTGCAGCGCAAGACCAGAGTCTTTTCACTAGGAATTTTCAGGCAAATATCATACATAATAATGTGGATCCAAAATGCAGGTTCTGTGACAAATACCAAGAAACAATAGACCATCTAATCTCAGGATGTTCTATACTTTGCCCCAAATGAATATAAAAATCGTCACGATAGAGTGGGGGCAATACTTACACTGGACAATGTGCAAACACTTTGGAAAATGTGTAAGCAAACACTGGTATGAACATCGGCCAGCGCCGGTTACAGAAATAGAAGATGTCACCATTCTATGGGATTATACCATCCACACAGACAGAAAAATTGAAGCAAATAGGCCGGACATTATTGTCAAAAACCAGAAAGAAAAAAACTTGCCTACTAATTGATATGTTTGTCCAGCGGATTGTAACATAGCAACCAAGGAATTTGAAAAACTATCAAAATACAAAGACCTGGAAATTGAAATAGAAAAAATGTGAAATTGAAAACAAGAATAATACCAGTGGTAATAGGTGCACTTGGAATTATAAAAAATGGAACAAAACAACACATTGAAAGAATCCTGAAACCCCAGCTTAAGAGACATACAGAAAATTGTCTTATTAAGTACAGCACACACACTAAGGAGAACTTTGTCTATGTAACGCTAGCAAAATCGGAGATAAAAAAAAAAAAAAAAAAAAAAAAAACATGAAATGTGGCCATAACAACACACCACGACCTGCCTTTAGGTCTTTCCGCAGACTTGGTAGGTAGTGTGTCCATAGCAGAAATCGAATGATGATGATAATAATAATAATAATAATAATAATAACATAATAATAATAATAATAATATTAATAATAATAATATTAATATTAATAATATTAATAATAATAATAATAATAATATTAATAATAATATTAATAATTATTATTATTATTATTATTTATTACTACTACTACTACTACTATTATTATTATTATTATTATTTTTATTTTCTTTGATTTCTGGCGTTTACACATTTCTTTCCGGGTCCCGCCCAGGGACCTAAGGTTTGAAATGGCATCATGACACTTTCCACTAAAAAAAAAAAAAAAAAATTACATAGATAAAGCCTTCGTAAAGCCACTGTACACTGAAAACAATTTTTGTATTTCTCCAAATGGACTTCAGGAATCCCTTCAATTATCCTAGGAATCTTTTCCAACCAACCTAGGGCTCCAACTACAACAGGGATTGTTGATGTTCCCTATGACATTTTGAGATTTCAAGGTCCTTGTACTTTGGCAGCATTTTGAATATTTTCAAAGATACATTGCAGTCAGCAGGGACTGCCATATCAATAAGGAGGCACATTTTTTTT